TTATTTAAATAATGTGATTATTTAAATTTGAATTTGAACACATCTAGATTTATCCATTTAAACTTATTTGATAAGTTGGTCAATTTAGAATTCAAATTAATTTAAGTTTGACTTAAATTGAAATTTAAATTTGAGTCAAAATTGGACTACAGGATAAAGGATGATTTTTCTCTTCCTTCCCTATCAGAATTGGTGCCACACACAGGGTTAGAAAACCCTAAGAGTGGCCGGCCACATTAGGGATAATGTGAGGAAATTTTGTTGTTCAAAATTCAAAATTGGAGATAGGGGTTTGATTCTGTTTTGAAGTTTGACTTCTACTATTTAAATATGAGAATGATAGAAAATTGTGGACACAATTTTTTGAAACATTATTCAGCCCTAAATTAGTTGTGGCCGATCTTCTCAAAGGAAAAAGAGAGCAAAAATATTTTTCTCCAAAAATTCCACATCGTGCATGCGTTGGTGTTTGTGGAAATTCGAGTGTTTAAAGAAACCTGTTTTGTCTCACGTGTGCCCACACACACGTCTACGTGGAATCAAGGAATTGACGTGGAAGACTTTGGTATTCTAAACACAAAGATTGGAGCAAGGACTGTTCGTGGACAAAGAACTCAAGTTATCATCCGAGTCGGCTTCCAGGTATTTTTTTAGATTGAGTTCTTGATGTAAATTAATGCGATTAATTTATTCGTACATAAATTAATATAATCTATAGAGTATCTCAAAAGTTTTATGAAATTTTTGTTATACATGATCCGCCTCCCCGCCACGCTTCCGCACCCGAATTCGATTCGGGAACCATCACATAGGCTACATACAATTTCAACGGAAGAATGGTGGATGAAATGGAAAAATAAAGAGAAAGGGTCTGCAAATTTACCGAGTTGCATCCGGTGGATGAATATGGGTGCTCTTCCAGCAAAAACCCCAATTTAGATGACAATGTCGTACCCAAATTTCTCCGCCACCGATACCGACTGCGGAAAAAACTCAACTGATTATGGTGGTGCAGGGGATTACGTCACCGGTTGCAGGTACATCTACCCAAAAGAACGGCCAACGGTGGTCGTCGAGGACTACGTTTTCCAGCTATTTTTGCTGTTTTGGGCAGAGGGAAGAAGCAATAAAAGGTTCCTCCCTCATAAGAAGAAACAAATCTGCGAATATAATTCACCACCAGAGGGGAAAAATTTTCTTTGGCAGCGAATCTCTGTGAACGATGGGAGTCGAGAGTAGAGAGAGCAGTTTCTCAAAGGAGGAGAAAGAGAGTAACGGTTAGGAGCGCAAAGGAATCTGGAGGAAAAAGTCGAGACCATCACATGGAGGGGAACTGTAGAGAAAGGTTCGAGTTAATGGAATTGGAGGGGGTAGTTGAATTCCCCATATGCACGAGTAATTCGAGTTGTAACTCGAATTTGATTTCGAGTTGAGTCTGCCGAACGCTTACTTGGGGTTGCGTTCACAATTTGAGTTGGGCTGATTTGAGCCCTATCCACGAAACGAACACCCCCTAAAAGATAAGATACTTTCCATATATCGGAAAATATTAAATTAATTTTATTAAAAGTTATTAATCAAGTGACTATTATTTGGTTGTTTTAGACACCGTTCATTTCATCGATTCGAGTTTAAAATTTGAGTTTTGTTGCGGTCTAAAGTTCTCAAAAATAGTCACATCTAACTTTTTTACTATAGTAAAAAGATCTCAATCCACATCTCAATTCAAATTAAAAACTCGAATCAGCGAATAAAACGGGCGTTTGTTTTGGAGGGTTTTTTTTTTCATAATTTAATAAACATGTGTGGTTATCCTAGTATGCTTACATAAAATGATGTATGCAAGGAAGTGATAACTTCCTCATGATGTCCTTCTTCTGTAAACGAAGTACCAGTGGAGTCAGGATTTATTTTAGGAACACGATCTTATTAGGCCCCTGTTTGGTTCACCAGTTTAAATTTTGTCAGTTTAAACTTTTTTATTTGAATAGAAACATTCAAACAGTATAGTTTAAATTGGTATTTAGATGTGCAGTTAAAATTTTAATTTGAATAGAAAATAAAATTTAAATTTGTGTTTGGTTGGTGTGAAAAAAAAGAGAGTGATGATCTTTTTATGTTTAAAAATGGTTTGAAATGTTGAACTTAATGGCGGAGTTAAACTCTAAGTTTGACAGTTTAACTCAATTCAAACGAAAAATATAATTCAATCTGTTTGCTTACTAAACATGAGTTTAAACTGTGCTCATTGTTCAAACTGAGTTGAATTAAACTAAACTAATAAAACATATATTTAGATCAATGATACAGATCATGAAAATTGAAAGACATTAAAAACCTAAAAAAAAAATAAAAAACTCTTACTCAATTTGATATACAGTTGTTCTCCATGGGTTTTCATCTTTAAAAGCGTTGCATAATACACCATCATCATGCGTGGCAATTCGTATCATTATTAAAATGTAAGTATGAAAAGAATTTAAAAAAAAAAAACACACACACACACACAATTAAGATTTATCTTATTTAAAAAAATTTCTAATAAAAAAAAAAGAGAAAGAAAGACACGTTTGTGTCAACATTCTTTCTCTTGAGAGCATAGCAAATGAAAAATTTTCAAACTCCCACGATGCCTGAGATAGTGCTGTAATAATGAAATAAGTCCTTATTCGATTTAATAGTTGGAATCACAACTCAAATTTTTAACACAATATTTCTTCTTATAAGAATTTAAATTTAATTTTTACATCTCATATAAATTTATTTTTTAACTCATTAACAACTTGAATGATTTTTAACTCAAGTTAACAATTCGAACGAACGGTGCTTAAATAGTCCTAAATAATCCTATCTTATGCTCAAGTACTACCATACCAGGTAGGGAGGTACCACAGTCTCAAACTGATACTGAGTTTTTAGGAAATTTAGAAGTCCGCTGAACATAAATTATGAGATCCAACAATTTAATACATAAGCACGAATAATATAAAGCAAGAGTGAGAAAGTAATTGCAACCCGATTGTAAAGTTTTAGAGCCCGTTTAGTTCGTTGATTCGAGTTGATATGTGACTTTATGTAAGAACTTTTTAGTGTAGTAAAAAAGTTAGATGTGACTGTTTTTGAAAATTTTTTACTGTAACAAAACTTGAATTATAAACTCAAATCAATGAAATGACTGAGGCCTTAGTCACCTTATATCAAACCCTAAAAATGAATTGTCAAAGTTGCCCTCCTTAACTAGGTTTCCTTTCTAGGTTGAGTTTTGACTGCTTCAAAGGGTTTGAGTGAGCATCAAGGCTCTTCAAAACCTGCTCAAAATTGCAAGTCGATTCACCATTCAAGCCTACTCCGCTGATAGCAACCACACTGAATAAGATTTCAGCTAAAAATTTTAACATTAGAGCATGTAATACAATACTATAATGGATGTGTTAATTATAAATTTTACATCTGAGTGCAAAAAACACTCTCTAATGCAAAACTATTTATTGTACTAAATTTCTCACTAAGTATAACACATGAAAAATTTAACATTTAATTACTATTAGTTAAAATATTCACTTTTTCATATAATCATTGAAATTTTTATATTTTTTAATTATTTTAAATATAAAAATTTACTTTTACAACTTTTAAAGCTTAACAATTATTGAAAATATTTGGTACCTAGATTCGCTCTCTGATTCGAATCATGGTTCGTGATTCGCTACAGTATTTTCTCTCACAAAAAATACACGTAAATTGAAAATGGTTCTAATCACATGGTTGTAATCCATGAACCAAACGTCTAGCGTTTCAAAATTCAAATAGCATTATACATTTGAGTAAAAATAAAAATAACATATCATATTACACACTTTTTGATGGTAAGTCTGTTTAGTACCCAACAACACTACATAAACAGACTTGTGTCTTTTGTGACTAGCGAACACCATGTCATTTGTATTATAAGAAGATGTTCAAAAGTTATTACATTCTCATGTTTTCGTCACCCTGTGTCCTGAGTTGAGCAACAGACAATTCAATGATACACGAATTTATCCCTCTAGCCTTCTATAAACAACTCCTAGGACTACATACATTGTAAGTGGACGTTGAGATACATCCATAAACCATATACTTAAAGCTCAGATTTAACCTTCATATCTCCATTGGGCATCATGCTTTGTGCTTGTTGGCGTTTCAATTCCTGCATTGCACGAAAAGGTGTGACATAATAAAGAAAAATATGTATAGCAATAATGACAGTGTTGCTTGAATCTGCAATTGCAATGAAAGGGGGTTGTTGTAACTTTGACAGCATGAAGAAACGAATGAATTGAAACGCATTTATGAAAAGGATATGTTAATTAGTTCTTTAAAAAGATATTAGTAAGATCAATAGAATATAACTTACAGCAGCAGAAGCAGCTCGAATCTCCCTATAAGATTCGACTTCATCAGGAAATGTCTGCTCCAGTTCCTCTAGAAGATGCTTACGTAGACCCTAGAAAAACAAAAGCAAATTTTACGAAAAACAAACTAGGGAAAAGAACTTGATTAGAAACCAAACAAATGCCTAAAAGACATAAAATCCGTTGAAAAAATGTCACCTTGAAGGCATCAGTTTTCCCTTTGGTGATCTGGTTTTTAGAAATGCAGCTATTTATCACATCCCTTGTAAACTCATCGGGATTCTTCCCATCATCAATCAGACTGCAAAAGAAGCAACAAACAAAATGAATATCAGAAAAGAAATAAGAAAAGGCCAATCAAAAGAACCAGAAAAAACACCCCAATGAACTTACTTGAGAACTTCCATTGGAACCTGAATATTGCATTTCTCTGACAACTTAACCATGTTGTCAAGCTCCAAAACGAGAGAATTGCTGCAATTTATTCACACCCAAAAAACCATCTTAACATAAGAACACTAAACAAAGCTACAAAACGAGAGACCCACTGCAATTTTATTCACACCCAAAAAACAATACTGACATAAAAACACAAAACAAAGCTACAAAACAAGAGACTTGCTACAATTTTATTAACGTAATAAGACTAATCAAAGCTCAAATTTTCAGATTATGAAAAGTAAATGAAAACTAGTAGGGATTCCACCTTTTATCCCTAACTCTTTAAAATCAATTGATGTGGCACATGAGTTTTCATTCTTAAATTGTCATGTACTTAAAAAATTTTCACGTCAATTATGTTAAAAAGTTGCATCTACCAATGAAAATGTGACTCATTGTTGGTATCAAAAATATGGGATCCCAACACTACTAAACATAAATTTAAGAAAACAGAGCAAAACAGAGATAAGGGGAGGCAGGAAATACAGGCGTTGGAGAAGGGGCAGCTGACTGGCTGCATTGAAGGAAGAGACAGTGAGGTAGAGCTGGTGAAGAAGGCCCAAATTTTTCTGTGTAGAGTTGATGACTTGGTTCAAGTTCTGCTTTGGATCGTCCACAACTGTGGCCATTGTAGCATTATCATTCGCCGGAGAAACCATCATTCCATTTCCACTACTCCCACCAGTCCCTGTTGATGTACTTTGCGATGCATCCATCTAAAACTCCACTTCACACCTCCAAAAAAGAAGTATCCGTATACAACAACAACAACAACAAGCCTTAATCCCAACTTAATTGGTGTCGGCTATATGAATTTCACTTTTCCACGCAGCTCTGTTCAAAATCAAACTTTCCTGAGCGCCTAGATCTAAAATATATTTCCTAACTACTTCGGTCCACGTAATTCTTTGTCTACCCCTCCCTAAGTATTTGTATATCTGATGAAAAAAAAAAGCACCATTATTGTAACTCATCTATATGAGCAAATCTCTTACGGACCCATGACTAATAAAAAAAAGGACATGTAGTAGGCTCATTCGAGGGAGTCTTGGCATCCAGGATATACTTTTATGGAACCCAAACCTCCAAAAATACCAAAACACTTTTCACATATCATTAAGCGTAATTGACTAGAGAGATTACAGTACTTAAAGTGGAAAAAAAAATAACACACGCTAATAAACCCCACTGAAAGCATCAGAGATTTAACGTAAGGATAATGCCTAAAACTTTGGATAAATTCCATCGAACATGACATGACTCATACAAATAACTGTCCAATAAAAAATATAAAGCTGTGAGGAATGTCTATAATTTGATCGTAACGAAAAACGGTGCAACGACAGGAGCAAGGATGGTTCCTTGCTTGTGGGACAAGGAGATCGGCGCCGCAGCTGGTTTAGCAGGCCCTGGCGCCTGTTTACACAAGGGTCAGCGCTGCGGCGGTAGTTCGAATGCGGGCTGTGCAGAAGTTGCGTTTTTTGGCCGATTTTTCTTTCTCTGATTTGGGAAACTGACCAATTCGACTAGGGCTCGCCTTGGAGACTTCACAAAGGGCTTTGGGTGGTATATAAGGGTTAGGAAACCTAGAGAAACGTCTAATGCTTCAATTGGGATTGTGAGAGAACAATTGTATTGGAGACAACAAGTGAGTGAGGATTGAGATATTGAAACTTTGTGGCTTTAGGGATTCTTGAGAGGACTCTTGTATCATTCTTGTAATCACTTGTGATTGAACATAGTAGGCAAAAACACCATAATTGCATGACGTAGGATCTCACATTGAGAGTCCCAACCTGGGTAAATTCTGTGTGTCGTTATTCTTCTCTTTCGTTAATTGTTTGATTGTTATTCCTTTGCAAACTGTTTGAATTGTGTGATTGAATCCACTAATTTTCACCACAAAAGCATTTACTCAAAATAAAAATCTAGAACTGTAACAACATTAAGAACTACTTGCTTGTGTTTATCTATTTGTTATCCTCTTTATCATTTTCTGGACTTTTGGATTTGTTTTGAAGTTTAATAAAATAGAAACGGAGGATTAGATAGGAAAAGCCCATTTGGATTTTGTTACAGTTCTAGATATTTAGATTTTGTTACAGTTCTAGATTTTTATTTTGAGTAAATATTTTGTGGTGAAAATTAGTGGATTCAATCACACAATTCAAATATAATCTTCATCTCTACAAGAAACGGCGCCACTGTGTGCACTCATACAAATCACAGCGCAAGGAAATCATTTTCAAAAATTCCGGAAGAAAAATTTTCAAGTCGAGCTTTAAATCCTCAAATAATTATTTCTCTAGTTTGGTAAGCTTGAAATCTCAGCCTTGTGGGATTCTATGAGAAAAAAAAAAGAAGAAGAAAGGAATCATACTCTGGCGGTGCGGTAGATGAAAGTCCGGCAACGGCGTGGTGGATCGGAAGGCGGCGGCGGCGTGAGAGCGGTGCCAGCTGCTAGACGAGAGAGAGGCGAGAGAGTGGCGGCTGGGTCGATGAAGAGATGGGTGACAGAGAGGTTAGGGCTATGTCCGGCGACTGCGTGGTGGATCGGAAGGCGGCGACGGCGTCGTTAATCGGAAGGCGGCGACGGCGTCGTGGATCGGAGGGCGGCGGCGGCGTGGTCGACGGAAGAGATTCGACCAAGCTGGACTAGAGAGGGCAGGGGCGGCGGGGCTGGGAAGAAATGGGTGAGAGGTTAATATGACTTTCTTGGGGAAGTAAATAACACCGAATAAGGTGGGTTCATGATTATCGTAATATGTGGTAATGTGAAATTTACGAGCTGCGATTGGAATTTATGGCTTAGTTTGGTATTGATTTTGGACCCTTAAAAGTATTTTTTTTTTCTTTCAGTTTAAGCTGTTTTTATTGTTTAATAAGAATCAAAATAAGTATTTCTTCAATTAAGTTGTTTTTACGAAGCAGTAAGTTGGGTGCTTTAGATTTTAACTTACGCGGGAATTCCTTTCTTTCACATTAATGAAAAATTTGTATTCCCATTTTACCTTCGTTGAAACTAAATAATCCCCATCTACCCATCTCATCTCCATCACTCCCCGCTCTTTTCTCTCTCGTGACTGAACCTCTTGCAAGGTCCATCACTCCCCGTTCTCTCTCTCTCCTTTCTCGCTCCTCTCTCTCTCCTTTCTCGCTCCTCTCTCTCGCCAGTCTACGCTCCGTTCTCCGTTCACCGTTCGCTGGTCTCCCAGTTTGCGCTCCATTCCAATCTCCTCCGTTCGCTGGTCTCCCTGTTCTTCCGGTCTCCTCTCCCGAGTTTCGCCGGTCAACCTCAGCCCTCTTAAGCATGTTTTGCTATAAGTACTCCATTAATCTTAGTATTTCAAAATTTGCTTCTGATTTGTCCCCAAATTTTTGGGTTTTTTGTGTTACATCCTTTACTGAATGCGCAAAAAAATGAAAAATGTGCTCGTTAGGGTTTCCATTTTTAATCCGTAGTAGGCATTAATCCGTGTGTGTAGATAAATATGCTTGCAAGAACTATTTTTTTGGATGGAATTGCAAGAACTTATGTTTGTAGTCTTGGTGTCTTATGCCATTGTAATGAGATTCTCATACTTTGTTCTTCAATAAAATTTTCCTTTTCCAATAGATTTCACCATTTAATTCCTTTAATTTTACAGCTTCTAACAGACTCCAATTTAAACTCTCATTTTGAAGCAAGTAAAATTCCACTATTGGTCCTATTTACCCAAAAATCTTCATGACCACAAAATTTTCATCAAAACAAATAAGGGACTCTTTTAAAATTAATGTTCTCCAGCATCATCAAGCTAGAGAATGAAGTTCGTGTTAGTTCTTCTTTGTTTTTTCCTTCTGTGGCTTCTCATTCAATCTAGTTCTGTGTTATATTGGCAGATAGTGTGATTGATTTCTTTCTTTTTGTTCTTTCCTTCAGGTTACATACCAGTTCTTTCATTGGAAAAAAGTAACCCCGTTTGCCGATGATCATGGCATCTACAATAGGTTGACTTGGTGGGAACAGATTGACAACGGCAAGCAACTCACTCAGAACAGAAAGTTTCCCACCGTTGTTCCCGTTGGGCTGTAAGTACTTTAGATTTCCTTTATTGGTCTGTCACTTTGAATTTCGATACATGGCAGAAGCAAAAACTATATATGGTTATCATGACATTGTTACGCGTCTGCCACGGAAGGAGATGCAGAATGATGCACTCCTTTTGTTGTTTCTATGGTTGGGTAAATTGCCAATGTTATATATATAAGAATGATGCACTCCGTTGTTCCCGTTGTGCTGTAGACTCGTTGGGCCTGCATGGGCTGGTCAAACAAGTACGCTTGAATAGAACAGAAAGGTGGCTTTAGGCTGGCCAGGAAAACTTGTAAGAGAACATGATTCCAAAGTAGGTTAGAAATTAACGATACTTATATATAAACAATATCACAAGCTTTGTTTGACGAGATAGTTGCTCAACTTATTTGGCAAATAGATTACTAGCAAGTTCCACAAGGGAGGCGGGTAAAAGCTTAATAATAACTAAGGAAAGAATAACGTTTAGAACACTAACTTTAATCTCATTTTTTAAAATTAATTTTGGGTTATTATTTATTTATTGGTGGCAGTTGGTTTAAGGACTGACACACTTTAATAATAAAAGATTGTATTTTTCAATAAAAAAAATTACAACTCAAAATTGATGCAATAGTTGAGATTAGTGTTGTTGTCCAAAATTATTATAAAAGAAATATAACCTCATGTATCTTCTCCTGGTTGAAGTGTAAGTTTTTTGGTCTTTAGGTTAGGTAAGGTTGGTTTGAGCCTTGAGAGATTGGAATTGAAGCTTTAAATATTCTTAGAAGAAAAAACCACTTGAAGCCTATATGGTGTACGATTGGACAAGTATATACATAAATAAGCCTAATTCACAGTAAATATATGGCTACCTATAAGATAGAAGCCCTGCACAAATAACATTTGGCATATAAAGCATTGATTTTTAGTTTACCTAATTACAAATAATTAGTGCTAATTAACTATGATGGGAAATAATGCTCGGAGCAATATTAATGCCTAGCTTCATAATTCCAATCAGCTTAGCCAAATAGAACACATATGCTTAATCAATGACCTGATCAACATTTTCTCTTCCTTTTTCTTTTCTCTTCTACCAAACAACCTACATTTCCATTTTCCCTCCCAAAATTCCTCCACTTTCTTCCATCCTTCTACTTTTCTTTCCTACCAAACATACTCCTAAACATTTTATCAGTCTTACATTAACATAAACAGATAGAGAAGCAAAGTTATACTTACCTGATCAAGTGATCTTTCACCGTTATAATATAGAAGAGAAAATGACAAGTAATCTTTTTCGGGCCGCAAGTATCTTCTAAACACAACCTATAAAGAAAAAGAAAAAGAAAAACATGTCAACCAGAAAAGGCTTATCTAATCTAACTATGCTCAAAGCAGTAAAATTAAAACAAAACAATATTAATTACTTTAACAGAATGGGATTGTTTGACTCACAATTCTTTGTCCAGGGATAATCCTTGAAACTGAAAACAATTTTAGGTTCTTTTCTTGTCCGCGAGAGAACCAGATTAGTGTTGTTTCATCCTGTTATCAACACTAAAATTGAAATCATTCAAGCACTTGAGATATTTCATAATAATAATAATAATAATCCATACAGAAGCTTGAGCTACTACTGTAACTTCATTCTTATCTTACTATCACATATTTTCATCTATGCTTTCTTTGTCATGCTCTTTTTTTTTTTCCTGTTTTCTGAAGCATTTTTATGTATATAACTGCCATATATTCTAGATCACTGTGTAATTGTACATGGTATACAGGTAAAGTGGTTGTTTTCTTCTAATAAGTCTCCTTTCTCTTAAACACATGCCAACAAAGTTTAACCTAGCATACGCATTTCTATGGAAAAAAAGAGAAAAAAAAAGGGTTTGGGTTTAGTTGGCATGTTTGCTCTAGAACTTTTCATGATGGGTAGGTTATCCCTTAAACCATTACTTTTCATAAATTACCCGTAAATTTAACAAAGTGTTATAGAGTACCACCAAATCAATAACAACTATTAAACTTCAGGGGGAAACACATTCATACAAGTCATGTGGGCTCATACAAAGGAAGAGGTTGAACCTTTGGATGAAAATTAGAGCATGTTATGTCATGAGCATGGGGATATTTCATTCAAAAGTCTAAAATCATTCATCAATTTGGAAGCACTATACAGCATTCTATTAATTTCACGAGGTAATTTGCAACAATTTAAAGTTTAAGAGGCAACTTGCTAATTTTGTTAAAATCAAGAGGCAAAAGTGCCAACAACCAAAAAAGGAACAATTTGCACTTAGGAATAGCTCACCGCAGAAATTCTGAATGGGCACAACTTAGGCTTCCTTTTCTGGCATTTTTCTAGGCATGTCTGCAAAAAAATGGCCTCAAAAAATGATATAAAAAAAAAGTAAAACACTGTGAAAAAGCCTCCGGTTGCGTAGTGGGGCACCCAGGGGACATGATGGGTCAAAAATTTATATTTTTAGTTATGTTTTACATTCTAAAATTAATATACGATTTTTAAGAATTAATGCAACAAGCAGCACCATTTTTTGATGAATATTCTATTTTTTATGTTTTTCTTTATTTTTCACCTTTGAAAAATAAAATAAAATAAAATTGATGTCAAACTATTATGAAATTTTGCATACACGATCCTTACATTTGTCAGGGCATGCCTGCAAAAAAAAAGTCCTTAAAAATGACCCAAAAAAAAGCAAAACGCTGTCAAAAAGCCCCCGACCTACGTAGTAGGGCGCCCAGGAGCCGGGATGGGTCAAAACTTTATATTTTTATTTATGTTTTGCAATCTAAAATTAATATATAATTTTTAAAAATTAATGCAACAAGCGACACCATTTTTTATGAATATTATATTTTTTTAAGATATTTTTTATTTTTTGTAGTTGAAAAATAAAATAAAATAAAATTGACGTCAAACAATTATGAAATTTTTCATACACGATCCTTACATTTTTCTGGGCATGCCTGGAAAATATGGCCTTAAAAAATGACAAGAAAAAGTAAAACACAGTCAAAAAGTCCCGGGCCGGCGTAGTGGGGCGCCCAGGGGCCGGGATGGGTAACTAAATTACATTTTTATTTATGTTTTGCATTATAAAATTAATATACAATTTTTAGGAATTAATGCATGAAGCAGCGCCATTTTTTTGACTAATATTCTATTTTTGTGATTTTCTTTATTTTTCGCGTTTAAAAAATAAAATATAATATAAACAACGTCAAAAAATTTTGAAATTTTGCAGACACAATCCTTATATTTTTTCTGGGCATGCCTGTAAAAAATGTCCTCAAAAAATGATAAAGAAAAGTGAAATGCTGTTAAAACACTCCGGACCCGCGTAGTGGGGCGCCTAGGGGCCGC